GCAGAGCATGTGAGGGAGATTCCCAAACCAGAGCCATTCTTTTTAAATGACAAATCTGAGGAACTGCCCCAGATTGAGGAGTCAGTAGAGGAGGTTTTAGAACAAATTGATAAACAGTAATAAGTCACCAGAATAAGATGGTAGTCACCAAGAGTTCTGAAGGAACTCAAATATGAAATTGCAGAACTACTAATGTGGTATATAACCTATCGCTATCCAGATGACTGGAGGATAGCTAATGTAATGTTGATTTTTAAAAAAGGCTAAAGAGGCAATCCTGGCAATTACAGGCTGGCAAACCTAACTTCAGAACCAGGCAAATAGGTTGAAACTATAGTAAAGAACAGAATTATCAGACACATAGATGAAGATGATGTGTTTGGGAAGAGTCAACATGGATTTTTTAAAGGAAAATCATAACTCACCAATGTATTAGAATTTTTTGAGGGGGTCACAAGCATGCAGACAAAGGCGATCCAGTTGATATAGTGTACTGTGACTTCCACAAAGCCTTTGACAATCTCCCTCAGCAAAGATTCTTAAGCAAATTCCTCTCATGGATCAGTTAAAAGATAGGAAACAAAGAGTAGGAATAAATGGTCAGTTTTCACAATGTAAAGTCATAAATAGTGGGGTTCCCCCAAGACTCTGTACTGGGACCTGTGCTGTTCAAAATATTCATAAATAATTTGGAAAAGTTTGCAGATGATAGTAAATTACTCAAGATAGTTAAATCCAAAACTGACTGTGAAGAATTACAAAGGGATCTCACAAAACCGGGTGACTGGAGAACAAAATGGCAGATGAAATTCAATGCTGGTAAATGCAAAGTAATGCACATTGGAAAACATAATCCCAACTATACATACAAAACGTTGGGGTCTAAATTAGCTGTTATCACTCAAGAAAGAGATCTTGGAGTCATTGTGGATAAATATCTGAAAACAGCTGCTCTGAAAAAAGCAGCAGCAGTCAAAACATTTAAGAGAATATTAGGAACCATTAGGAAAGGGATAGATAATAAGACAGAAAATATCATAGTGCCAGTATATAAATCCATGGCATGCCCACACCTTGAATACTGCATGCAGTTGTGGTCGCCCCACCTCAAAAAAGATATATTAGAAATGGAAAAGATACAGAGAAGGGCAACAAAATGATTAGGAATATGGAACAGCTTTTATACGAGGAGAGATTAAAAAGTCTGGGATTGTTCAGTGTAGAAAAGAGATGACTAAGGGGGGATATGATAGAGAGCTATAAATCATGAATGCTGTGGAGAAAGCGAATGGGTAAGCGTTATTTACCCGTTCACATAACACAAGAACCAGGGGTCACCCAACGAAATTATTAGGCAACTGGTTTAAAACAAGTACTTCTTCACACAACACCTAGTCAACCTGTGGAACTCATTGCCAGGAGATGTTGTGAAAGCCAAAAGTATAACTGGGTTCAACAAAGAGTTAGATAAGTTCATGGAGGATAGATCCATCGATGGCTATTAGCCAAGATGGTCAGAAACATAACCCTAAACCTCTGACTGCCAGAAGCTGGGAATGGAGAATGGGGGATGAATCAACTGATAATTGCCCTATTCTGTTCATTCTCTCTGAAGCATCTGGCACTGGCCACATTGGAAGACATGACACTGGACTCGATGGATCAGTGTTCTTATGCTCTATGACCTTGCAGCATTGGAGTAAGATTGATGCTCTAAAAAAAGTGTTTAGGGTTGATAATTGTACAAAACTTCTTTTTCTTGAACATGCTGACAACATATTACAGAGACTTTACATTTTAACTTGGACATTTATACACCCACAGTAAAATCCTCCTGGAAGAACTCAAGGCTATGTTTCACTTATTTAACAGGGTAGTATGTTTCACTTATTTAACAGGGTAGTTAAACTATTGTCTTTGTATCAGCTAGTAGAATATGTTCTATTTGTTGACTTCTCTTCTGAGGTCCATGAGAGCAATAATCACTTTATCCAAGTATTCATTTTAAACCTGTCTGATCCCAGATGCAGGACTGGTCTTGCAATTGCAGACCTCTTCTGTGAGACAGAGACATCCAAAGATGCAACGCTAAGTTGATCAGGCCAGAGAGCCATAGTCTCTACAGCAAGAAAGGCATAAACATTGTCACTGTCACTCTCCCATTCCTATCTTTTCTATTGTCCTAGGGAACAATGTAATAGCTGGTAAGACACATATCAGTGACCTTGCCCAGCTTTGCAAGATACCATTCACCAACTCGCATCCTGTGTCCTCACACAGAGAGGTCATAGGGTACTTTACTGTTTCAAGATGCAAAGGTGTTGATCAGCAGCCTACCAAAATGTCTTATGGTGAGTGAGATATTTCTGCTAACATTCTTCTGAGACGAGACCTGGGGTACCTGATAGTACCCATCCTTAGCTCAGGTCTACGATTGACATCCCTGACAATCCCATGTGTGTTTGTTTGTCCTGAATCCAAGACATTCCAGGAACCACATTATACAGTGCTTTTCTGTCATCTTTCTCTCTGTACAGAAACCGGATCAGAAAAATTGGGTAGCAAAAGATAAGCAATTTCCTTCTTCCCTAAAGCCAATATTATTGGCTGATCCCGGCGAGAGACCCTGGAAGCACAGGATGAACAGTAATGATTGAAGTTGGGAAAAGAAAAATGCTGCCATCCCTCTGCAAAATATAGGAATTGTCTAAGGAAGGTTAAAATGGGAATGCTTTGAAGACAAGTCTGTTTTAGGAACTTAGTGAAATTAGGAACTTACTAAATTGAGTTTGTCAGCCTTTAAATTCCAGGGCTTGACACCTTTTGTCTCCCTGTCAGTTTCTTAAAGACAGCCTGGTGCAGGATTGTTACTTTTCTGCTATCCTTTTCTACTTCCCTTCCCTCTCTGTTCTCCCTCTTTTATAGCTGGCTTCATTTTCTTTATTGGTCACAGCTGTGGTTGCTTGTCTCCAAGACTGGCAGTTCTGGGAGCGGTGCGGGGGTGTGGTCAGCATGATTACTGGTAAGCAGGGAAGGATCTCCTCTCCCTTCAGCCTCAACTCTGTATGAGGTTGGTAATGCTCATTACAATCACTAAGATAGCTGGTAACTGATTTGTCTCAGCATCTAATCCCAAATACCAATACCCTACGTACCTGTGTGAAACAGATGTGAATCCTACTCTCCACCCCAGTGTTAGCATTGCTTGTGAAAGCCTGGAGGGGCATTTAGGGTGTCCGATGACAATCCCTATTCGTTAATTTATTTAGCGGTGGTAGTCTGATGTCACCTGAGGGTTTCTGTAGTCTTTTCTATAGAGTATGGTAGGAGCCAGAACTATAAGGTGACAGTTCTGATGACACTGAATTGCCTCGTCTTTCCATAAAGTTTTCCATTGTATCACCAAGACAGCTGGGAATGGATTTGTTTCAGCATCTGATCCCAAAGACCAAAGCCCCATGTACCCGTGTGAAACACATCACAGAGTTTCCATGATCAAGGGAGGGAGCGGAGAGAATGCCTGCCTGGGTTTGGATGCCTGTAAAGGGCCTATATAGTGAGAGGCTACTTATTCAAGTAAAACTGGACACAGAGATTTCTCTGAAAATATTCAAGAGACTAATGATACTTCTGTCCTCCAAGAGGCTAAGCTTATTTGTCTCCCCTCCCACACATGGGCTCTTTCTGGATCTCCCAAGGAAGGTACTGGTCTGGAGCTTAAGGATGGGCTCCCCAGAAGCTCCACTCCTCTCTGTTGAATGGAATTCACATGAGCCAGATAGGCCTGTGTTTCCCCTGGAGGTCTCAGTCATGTTGTGTCCGGAGCCCTCCATCTGCGACCCATTGGGAAAAAGAGGGGGAGGAGGTGGCTGAGCCCTGCAGTCAGAGGTGTAGCTAGTGGCAGTGCTTAAACTGTGCCAGGGCTTAGCCCTGGCACCTCTAGGCTTGGCAGTTCATATTCCCGGCACCTTTGGGCTTGCTGCATCAGTTATGAAAGTAAAAAAAAATTGCTTGAGCCTCATCACCTCATTGCGTGAGCCCCAGCACCTCTTTTATTACAAATTAAGCACTGGCAGGTGGTGCGGGCTATGGAGACTCAGACACGATCTTCCATCTGGTGCTCTGCCCTTCTGGCTTCACTCCCTCCTGGGGGATGTCTGCTTGCCCCGGGGCCAGTTCTTGTCCAATCCTGGCAGGGAGGGAGCTAAGGTATCCCCACTGGGCCTGGGCTGCATCTTATTCAGCACAGCCAGCCTCTCCAGTCCTGCCTGGCTCCTATTCTACCCAGGAAAGGGTGTGGGGAGGTGATCTGGCCCAGACAGGACTATGAGGGAAACCGTATTCTTCCCACAGAGCTGGCTAAATTCTTTAACGAGACACTCAATAATGTGGGGGAGCATGAGACACAGACCCTTCCTTTTGCCTCTGCCTTTTCTTGGCTTAGCTCTGTCCTTGAAGCTGGCAGGAGCACCAGCTTCAGTAAATGCCCCAGAAAGGGAAGGAGAGCTGACAGGACAATGTCCCCAAAAGCAAATGCAGCCTTGGGACATGACTGGGAATCAGACAGAACCAAATTGTTAGTCTAAAAAAATTAAAATAAATTTAGAATTTTCCTGAGAAATCTGCAGGGAGGTCTGGCTGAGCCACTGGCCAGTGTGGAGGCAGAGAAACCTGGAGGGAACATCAGGAAGCAAGGTACTTCCCTACTCCCAGTGGCTGACAGGGCTGGTTCTGCCTCCAAGCTGCAAGCAGGCTAAAGTACCCATTGTAGTGGATCTGTGGACATTAACAAGAAGAAGAAAGGAGCAATTTTTGCATAAAAAAAAGTGAAATGTACTTTTAAATTAGTAAATTTGCCTTAGGGCCCCTGCTATCATTAATGTATAGCAGCCCTCCTAGTAATAAATTATGTTCCCTTGGATGACACACAGCATATAAAAAAGCCATCTGTTATCTACTTCGCACCAAATCAAGAGTGTGGGATGGAAGTGAGAGCGCACCTTTTGTGCCCTGCGCTTGTCTGCTCGTTGATTCTGGTGGTAGATACGACTGAAGTTGGAGACAATTACAGGAACTGGCAGAGCAATGACTAAGACCCCACTCAGGGAACAAATTGAACCAAAAATCTTCCCAGCTATTGTCTTCGGCACCATGTCACCATACCTGGGTTAAAGAAAACAAAATCTATTTAAAAACATTAACTACTCTTAAGTATCAGATTTAAAGTCAAACTAGCTAGAAACTATTTTTACTATAATTTTCAAAGAACATTTCATACACATATACATTTGTCTGTATGTCTATGTGCTGTATGTACGTAAATCATTTCCATTTTAATTTAGTGCTTAAGTCGACACAGTTCCTAGATCTGGATCTAAATATTTTTTCATTCCTTCAAATCTCCTGGCAATCCACAGACTTGCTGGGACTTGCAGACACCTCTTTTTGATGCTAGATACTGGTTTTCTAGTAAAGGAGGAATACAGCAACATTAAGAATTATCTAGAGGAACTTCAACTGACAGCTTATAGAGAGGATTCTGTTCTCTACACCCAGTAGTTTGTTGTATTGTAGCGCAAAATGTGTAACTGAGTGTTACTGAGTTCAAGAATAAGCTAAATATCCTTAAATTACATTTGCTGTTTAATTTGGTTGGGTTATTAATTACTATTAAACATTTACATAGGACTGTAAATTTGCATAGCATGTTACACAACATAGGTAAGACACACTCCCAATCCCAAAGATTTTACAGTCTACATAGGACAAGACCAAACACAAAGCAAGCTGTAGGATAACATTGCAGGAGAGGCAATGTTTGGGAGTTGCTCTGATGAGAGTAGAATGTTTTACATGTTTTACACAGGGATTTGAGGGATAAGAGAGAAGTGGGTGAAAACAGGGAGACTCTTCTAGGCACTTGGCAGGTCCAAACCCAAGAATGAGAGAAGGAGATGAAGGGACGAGTAACACAGAGATGGGGGCACGGCATAGGGAGCAGGATGGGATATCAGTAGAAATGAGAGCAGAGGTATGTGTCAGGGCAAGATTCAGTAGCCTTTAAGGTGAGGAGAAGCGGCTTGATTTTATAGGGAAATAAATGAAGTGCTAATGGAGGGAATCAAGTAAGCAGGTGATATTATAGCCCGGAACAACCTATGTAATGATGGTAATGACCATACTTATTTTATCTAAAAAGAACTGTCTAGTGGCTTTACAAGACCTGGCCAGAACAACATATAAAACGGTATGTTACACTGATAGATACTAAAACACCTACTGTAGTTTTAGTTTTAGTTAATCACATTTGTTAAAAACTAGTGACACCAATACTGATCCTGCAAAAATGGGTAGAAAGAGTAGCATAGGATGGGTTCTATCTTTTAAAGACTAAATGCGGATGGTGTGAGGAGCAGGATACTTTAGGACTGGAAAGAGACCAGAAAGAGACCCATACTTTCCATTAAGTTAGCAGCGGTATCTCACAATACAGGTGTCCCCAGCACCTACCTCACATTTTTTTGGGGGGTATAATCTTTATATTTCCCCCCAGTACAACACAACACATCAGGTAGACTATATATTTACATATTTAGAAAGACTTATTTATACTTATGCATGATCTAAAATTTCAAGATGGTGTTTAAAGTTAGGTTTCTAAATCCATGTTAGGCACCTAAATAAACAGCCTGATTTTCAAAAGTGCAAAGCAACTAAAAGCTCCCATTGTCACTAATGGAACATTGTGAACAGTTAGAAGGCAGTTCTGGCTCCGTTTTTGTTTGCATTTGTTGCGGAATAAAACACTCTGTTGGTAATATTATTGTATGTTTGTGCAAGTCTACTGCAGTTTGATGTTAATGGTAGCAAGGACTCTAGGCCAGTCAGCTTCCAATATTTCAGTAGCCATGTATATATTCCAAGGCTGTGACACAGGATGATATTTTTCCATAGTATTCCAAAGAGTTATATAAAACTTGGAAATAAAATGTTTAGGATTGTTTGTATAGTGAAGATGTTTCTCTGGCCTTGGCTACACTTACCTGCTAGTTCGGCGGCTGGCAATCGAACTTCTGGGTTCGACTTATCGTGTCTAGTCTGGACGCGATAAGTCGAACCCGGAAGTGCTCGCCGTCGACTGCGGTACTCCAGCTCGGCGAGAGGAGTACCGCGGAGTCGACGGGGGAGCCTGCCTGCCGAGTGTGGACCAAGGTAAGTTCGAACTAAGGTACTTCGACTTCAGCTACGTTACTCACGTAGCTGAAGTTGCGTACCTTAGTTCGAATTAGGGGGGTAGTGTAGACCAAGCCTCAGATCCTCTATGGCTCAGGCTCAGAGACCTGTCACACACATTCGTCAGTGGGTTACATCAA